ACACCCATGCCGCCCGTTGTTTGGTAGCGTACTCATGTTAGTTGAGGACGACACTGGGTACTTACGAGGCCGTGCCACGACGTCTTTTCATCATACGTTCTGTGTCGACGAAAAGTGATACATCCCTTTGCGCGTGGAGACGGCATTTCTCCCATAACGGATTCGATTCAACCGTGCGTACCTTCGCGGAGTTCTCGTTCCGCCCGGGCCAAACTTGGCAAATTGTGAGGCTGTCCCAGGCGAAATTGAGCCCAAACCAGGCCAAGCCAAGCACATGTTAAGGACGTATCAGGCCAAACCAAGCCAAACGATTGCCAAACCAGGCAAGTATTGAGGACGTTTCAGGCGAAATTGGGCCCAAACCAGGCCAAACCAGGGGCCAAACCAGGCAGGTTCTGAAGAAATCTCAGGCGGGGCGCGCGGCCAAACCAGGGGACAAACCAGGCAGAATTCGAGGACGTCCCAAGTAAAATCGGCGGAACCAGACCCCATCCACTCTCTTGAGTAACATTCAAACTAACAGGGGGATCACCTCAGGGCCCCCCCCCTGCAGGCGGAAACTCGTTCAGAATTTTCTGGGGGCGGGCGTTTGGACCGCGCGCCAGTTGATGCGGCCGGGGTTGGGAACGGAAGTCTTCATTTGTTTTCTGGATGTTGTTGGGGCCTTCCTTGGTCGGGCGTTCGGAAAATAATTCCGAGCTTGTAGTTTGCGCACCTGGTGGCCGAGAATACGGAGACTTGCTATTGGTTACGCCATAACTTGCGGACTCGGCGGCCGAGAATTCAACGGCGTGCTAGTGGTCGCGCATTAGGTTACGCACTCCGCGGCCGATAATATAACGGCCTGCTATGGTTTTTACCATGAGGTTCACATTCCCGGCTGGTCATACAACGTTAAGTTATGGTTTTTGCCATACAACTGCGGACTCGGCGGCCGAGAACATGGCGTCTCCACAGCGGGCCCGGCCAGTGCATTAGAGCTTGAGTTGGTTCATCGTCAGTTCGCACCCCCCCTCGGCTCCAACGCAGATCCAGGAAGTCCGCGCGGACATCGAAAAACGTGTGATTGATGCAGAAGCCATGGATTTTCGCGCTTTCGAGACGCCCCTCGGGGGGGGAGAAAAGGAGCACGAGAAAAAAAATACACACGTTACGCCCGATAAGAGAACCAACGCCCAGAGGGAGGGTGGTGAGAAGGGGGCAACAGGCCGGCCAGTTGCCGCCCCGGGAGCCGGCGGCGGCGGCCCGCGGCCCGTGTGCTCTGCCACTGCGTGCTGCTGCTGCTGCCGCGTCCTCCATGGCGGGGCTCTCCTGTGCACCGGAAGGGGGGAGGGGTCGGGGATGGACAGAACCCCCACCCTGACACGTCGATTAGCGAATTGTCCATTTTCGGTCCTCCAGAGGGCGCCGCGGCCGTCATTTTCCAGGCTTGCGCCCGCCAGGTTTGGGCCCGAGGTCGTTTTCACTAAACCACGTTTTACTAAAGGGGGTTTTGTCCATTCCCGAGGGGGACAGGCGAGGCGCGCGGCCAAATCAGGGGGCAAGCCAGGCAGAATTTGAGGACGTCCCCAGCGGATTTCTCGATCTGGTTTTGCTGGTTGTCTTCGTGGTTCAAAAGACAAGCGCAGGGAGGATGTCAGGTGAGGGGGGGGGACGAGCTCTTTCCTCAAGAGTCCCAAGGAATGGGGGGGGTCGTAGCCCTCGTTTCCTCGAGAGTGAAAGTGGTGGTGGTGGTGAGGGGGGGTCGAACCATGAGAACGGGGGTGGGGGAGGAGACGTGGGTGGATGAGGGGAAGCGGGGGAGAACGGGGGATTGTGGAGTCGCAGGGGTTCAAAAGCGCGCGCGCGAGGCTTTCGCGCTGAGTTCACGACTGCTTCTGTGCAAACTCTGCTCTGTGTCGTCCTCCTCCTCCTCCTCCTCCTCCTCCGCCTCCTCCTCCTCCTCCTCCCTCTCCTCCTCCTCCTCCTCCTCCATCTCTGCCTTTTTTTTCTCGTGGTGTCCCCCCCAAAGAAAAAATCGGACTTGAGGTTCGCGGATTTTTGTTTGTTTGTTATTTTTTTTTGGTGGGGGGAGGGTCGGCGGCGAAAAAAAAGGAATGCGACGTGGCTTCATCTGCCATCCCCCCTAGAAGGATTCCTATTGAACGCCCCCACAAGAAGGATTCATAGTGAAATCCGCGACAGAAGGATTCCTATCGAAACCCTCCACTGAATGGTTCCTATTGAAGTCCTCCACATGTGGATTCCTAGTGAAACCCTCCACTGGATGATTCCTACTGAAATCCTCGAATGGTAATGGCAATGGCAATGGCAATGGTAATGGTAATGGTAATGGTAATGACAGTGGTAATGGTAATGGCACTGGTAATGGTAATGGTAACGGTAATGGTAATGGTAACGGGGTAGCGATTGGCAGTGGCAATGACAATGGCAACGGCAACGGTAATGGTTTTGGCAATGGGAATGGCAATGACAATGGCAATGGTAATGGCAATGGTAATGGCCATGGCAATGGTAATGGTAATGGCAATGGTAATGGTAATGTGAATGGGAATGGGAATGGGAAAGTGAATGGGAATGGGAATTGGAATGGAAATGATAGTGGTAGTGGTAGTGGTAGTGGTAGTGGTAGTGGTAGTGGTAGTGGCACTGGTAATGGTAATGGTAATGGTACTGGTAGCGGTGATGGTAATGGCAATGGTGATGGGAATGGGAATGAGAATGGGAATTGTAATGGTAATGGTAGCGGTAATGGCAATGGTAATGGCAATGGTAATAGTAATGGTAATGGTAATGGCAATGGTAATGGTAATGGTAATGGCAATGGTAGTGGTAGTGGCTAGTGGCAATGGCAATGGCAATGGTAATGGTAATGGTAATGACAGAGGTAATGGTACTGGTAATGGTAACGGTAATGGTAATGGTAATGCTAACGGGGTAGCGATTGGCAATGGTAATGACAATGGCAACGGTAATGGTAATGGCAAGGTCAATGGCAATGGGATTGGCAATGGCAATGGTAATGGCCATGGCAATGACAATAGTAAGGGTAATGGTAATGGCAATGGTAATGTGAATGGGAATGGGAACGGGAATGGGAATGGGAATGGGAGTGCGAACGGGAACGGGAATCGAAATGGTAGTGGTAGTGGTAACGGAAATGGGAATGGTCAGGATAAGGGTAAAGGTAAAGGTAGAGGTAAAGGTAATGGTAATGGTAATGGTAATGTTAATGGTAATGGCAATGGCAGTGGTAATGGGAATGGAAATGGGAATGGTAATGGTATCGGGAATGGGAATGGGGATGGTAATGGTATTGGCAATGGTAATGGTAGCGGCAAATAGCAATGGCCATGGTAATGGTGACGGTAATGACAGTGGTAATGGCAATGGGAATGGTAGTGGTGACGGTAACGGTAGTGGTAATGGTAATGGCAATGGTAACGGGGTAGCGATTGGCAATGGCAATGACAATGGCGATGGCAACGGTAATGGTAATGGCAATGGAAATGGGAATGGGAATGGCAATGGCAATCAATGGCAATGTCCATGGCAATGATGATGGTAATTGTCATGGTAATGGTGATGGTAATGGCAATGTGTATGGTAATGGTAACGGTAATGTGAATGGGAATGAGGATGGGAATTGGAACGGGAATGGGAATTCTAATGGTAATTGGAACGGGAATGGAAATGGTAGTGGTAGTGGTAATGGTAATGGCAATGGTAATGGTAATGGCATTGGTAACGGTAATGGTAATGGCAATGGTGATGGGAATGCGAATTGTAATGGTAATGGCAGCGGTAATGGTAATGGTAATGGCAATGGTGATTGTAATGGTAATGCTAATGGTAATGGCAATGGGAATGGTAGTGGGTAATGGCAATGGCACAATGGCAATGGCAATGGCAATGGCAATGGTAATGACAGTGGTAATGGTATTGGTAATGGTAATGGTAACGGTAATGGTAATGGTAACGGGGTAGCGATTGGCAATGGCAATACAATGGCAACGGTAATGGTAATGGCAATGGGAATGGCAATGGCAAGGGCAATGGCAGTTCTAATGGCCATGGTAATGGTAATGGTAATGATAAGGAAAAGAAAAAGATAAAAGTAATGGTAATGGTAATGTGAATGGGAATGGGAATGGGGATGGGAATGGGGATGGAAATGGTAGTGGTAGTGGTAACGGAAATGGGAATTGTAATGGTAAGGGTACAGGTAAAGGTAAAGGCAAAGGTAAAGGTAATGGTAATGGTAATGGAAATGGTAATGGCAATGGCAATGGTAATGGTAATGGTAATGGTAATGGTAATGGTAATGGCAATGGTAATGGCAATGGTATTGGGAATGGGAATGGCAATGGACTGGCAAAGGCAATTGCACTGGTACTGGCAATGGCAATGGCAATGGTAATGGTAATGGTAATGGCAACGGTAATGGTAATGGTAATGGCAATGGCAATGGTAATGGTAATGGTAATGGTAATGGTAATGGTAATGGTAATGGCAATGGGAATGGGAATGGGAGTGGGAATGGTAAAGGTAATTGTAATGGTAGTGGTAGTGGTATTGGTAGTGGTAGTAACAATGGTAATGGTAATGGTAATGGTAATGGTAATGGTAATGGTAATGGTAATGGTAATGGTAAGGGTAATGATGAGGAGCAACGTGACAGATCGTAAAAACTCGTCTGGAACCCACAGCGACTCCAGAATCCCCCGGCCTCGAGAACGGGGTGGAGGATGGGAGAAGGGGGGTGGACGAGGCGAAGGGGGAGGTGGGGTGGAGACAAGCTCGCCACCACATAGAGGAGCATACAGGGGAACTCAGCACTCCTTGCTCACGTGGCCTTTGTTCCCAGGGCGCCGACCACCTCACATCCGCCGACGGCGTCTCTGGCCGGTCTCCTCCTGCTCTCGCTCCTGCCGCTGCTATGCTGGAGACCGCGCAGCGCCCAGCTGGCCCCACCCCATGGGCCACCCCGCGCTCCGTGGATGGTGCGGCGCCCGAGGGCACGCCCGGGGCGCAGGCCCCTCGCCGTCTTCGCTTCCCGCTCCACGTGCGTTATCTTCATCCTCGAGCCTGCCGATGATGCATGCCGGTGTCCGCGCGTGGCACGGGTCGGCTCTATACACACACACACCGACCCGAAGGAGTCGCCCCTCCTCCATCCATGCAGTTCGGGCCGACCGGTTCGATTGTGCGGGCCATTTGATCATGCTCGCCCTCGTGATCATGTTCATGCGCATCGTTCTTGGCAGCCATTCGCATGATCCTCATCAGCCTCCTGGGACCCCTGCCGCGAGAGCTCTGGATAGCGGACCTTCTCATCGTCCTTCTCTTCCTTCGGCGGCCAGCCCGGGGGGAAGTGAGAAGGGGCAGACCTTCTCAGATGGCTTGGAAGTCTCCTGGCCTTCTGAGAAGATTTCTAATGAGGCCTTCTGAGAAGCCCCGCCGCATTCTGAGAAGACATTCTCCTTCTCACTTCCCCCCTCGCTCGCCGCCGATTCCTCCTCCTCCTCCTCCTCCTCCTCCTCCGCCTCCTCCTCCTCCTCCTCCCCCACCTACCTACTCTTCGTTCTCCTAACCCTGCCTCCCCTCTGAAGCTCCCGCCTGCCCGCTTGTTTCTTCATCCCCTGTTTGCCGTCGCCGGCATGCCTCCTCTCTGAAGAGAGGAGGGCGAAGGGAGAGGAGAAGGAGCAGGAGGAGCAAGCGCGAGATAGAATGCGAGGAGGAGGGGGGGAGGACCTACTCTTATGATGTTCCAACCTATTTTAGCCTTGACCATTAGAAAGAATTGCAAAGCGCCATATATATATATATATATATATATATATATATATAACTCTGAGGTTTTCCCGTGTCGGGCCCTGGGAGACACTCTTTCGACATTGTTTCGAGACTCTTTTGACACTTCTCCAGGTGCTCGAAATCATTTATGGGATGTGGTCCTGAAGTACGATGGGAGCAACATAAACCTACTTCTTCCTTTTCATCGGTCCCCCCCTCGCTCTCCTCCGAACCGAGCTCCGCCAAAGGCCAAAGGCAGGCCTCGCTCTGGGCGTCCAGGGGGCCGTTCGGGGGAGGGGGAATTGCCCGCCCCCGCCTCCCCCCGCGCGGCTGCGAGCGGGAGTGGGAGGAAGGGGGAAGCTTTCAGTCGCGCGTGTCCCTCTACAGGAGGAACATTCAAAAATAGTAAAGAAACAGTCTGGGGACGATTTTTTGAGCATATTTTGGCTATGTTGGAGCATTTGTTATGTATGTTTGATATTTCGCGCAAAATCCCCCTGTAGGGGGACATGCCCGACCTAAGGGAAGCTGGGAGTGAGAGGGGGAGGCGAGGGCGAGGAGGAGCAGGCGGAAGGCGGAGGGAGTAGGAGAGGAAGTAGAAGGAGGAGCAGGAGGAGGGTACGGCGCCAAGCACGCAGCTCGGCGCCGGCGTCTCCTTGCCTCGTCCTGCCTCGACCCGTTTCGCCCCTCCCTGCGTGTCCCCCCCCCATCATTCCTTGCCTCCCCCTCGGCCCGCCTTTGTCGGTCCGTCTCGCCCAGTCCCTCCCCCACTTAGCTATTCCCCCTTACCTCCCCGCCCCCCGGGCCCCGTCCAGCCCTCTGCCACAACTGTGTCTTCCACTCGACGCAGGCCCTGGAACAGACTGCGCAGCCCCCAGCGGGCGTTCTTTGAATTCCCTGCATGCCTCGCGCCATGGGCCGTCCCGAGGGCGAGCTGCGGGAGGCGCTGAGTCGCTGACAGACTATTGGGTCATTTGTTGGCTATTCAAAGTTCCTCCGTGTCTGCCCAGGGGAGCCCGCGCAGGGGCAGCGGCGGCGGGAATGCAGTCGAAAGAAGGAAGGGGGAGGAGGATGAACAGGAAGAAACAGCAGGAGGAGGAGGAGGAAGTGAGGGAGGAGGAGGGAGGCAGGAAGTGGGAGAAGGATGAGGACGAGAAGGGGCAGGAGGGGAAGAGGAGTGGCCAAATCAGCACCCTGAGTCCAACGCGTGGGACGGGCTGCAGGGGATCCATGGAGGGAGGTTGCCGATTGCCAGCACCGAGCCTCTTCCACGATAGCCCCCGCTATTCCGTCAATCGTGTATGAGTTTAGGCATCTCATTCGGCTTCTGCGTAATTTTAAGTCGGGCCTGTCCCTCTACAGGGGGGATATTCGAAAATAGTCAAAGCATAGTCTGGGGACTATTTCTAAATATTTGGTCATCTTTGTGTTTTTTTATTATGTTATATTTTCCGTCGAAAATCCCCCTGCGGGGGGGCAGGCCCGACTTAAGAGTAATTGACATGTGGTCCTGGGCTTTTCGCCCGTGGGCGCCTCGTGGGCAATTCGTGAGCTGGCTGACGGCTCGAGTTTTTGCTCGCCTGGTGGCCGCCCGTGCGCGCCTCGTGGGCGCCTCGTGCGTTGGCTAGTCGTAAGTCGGGCCTGGCCCTCGAATATTCATAAATAGTCAAAACATAATATGGGGACGGTGCTTTGGCTATTGTTGACTATTTTTAGTATTTTAAACTTGTCGAAAATGCCCCTGTAGGAGGACGCCCGACTTAAGGCTAGTGGCTCTTGGCTGTTCCTCCACGGGCCGCCCGTGGGCACCGCGTGTGCGCTATAGTCGTTTGCTTGCGTTTCAAGTTTTTCGCCCGGTCGCCGGCCGTGCGCGCTAGATTATATTCCCATGTTGCGCCCGGTGTCTCGTATTGTTTTATTCATGCTCATGATTCACAACCTACTCGCTGAAGATACCCGATCATACCATGTGCAGTATCTAGTACTTCCCAGCAAACATCCTTGCCCTAAATGTCTGCCCGGGCACATGCATCGATCTAGTAAGGGCGTGGTCGCAGCATATGTACAAAATGCTATACCACATGATGTGATGGGGGCACATGCGTTGATCTACGATCTGCGCGATGTAAGCATGTGCAGCGTATTATAGTTGTCTGCAAGCAACACGCGTGCACATGCCGAAATCTGTACATCGACCCTTGTTTCGAACCAGCAGTAGACAGCAGCTGACCCATAAATCTGCAAAACCAAATGCCAGGTGTATCTGCGCGTGCAGTCGCTGTAATGAGACAGAAAGTGTGATATGCCTTTCTCATTCAGGAGCGAGATCCTGCGTGCCCCACGCGCGCGCATGTGGAATATGTTCAACAAGAATCGCGCATCCGCCAGCTCTGTCTAATAAAACCCTTCGGGCCACAAGCGCACGTTTCCGCGCGAGCGCATGACGAAACCATTCATTGGTGTTCGAAGCATTCCAACACAGAGGTGCCAACACACATCTAACAACCAAGTGCTCTCGCATTGGAGACATGTCAGGGTGTCTGCACGTGCTGCACGTGCGCACTTCCTTTGACCCTCAGCACAACCATCGTCATTATCCTCATCACCATCTCCACCATCATCAGTATCATCATCGCCGTCATCATCATCAGTCATCATCGCTGACGTCTTGCTGTTATTCATATATGCAGCATCATCTTCGTATCCATTACCATTGCCGTCATTTTCACCCGTTGTCATCGTCGTCATCGTAGTTGACTTCGCCCTAGTCATCACCACCACCACCATCGTCATAACCGTCGCTGATGTCGTCGTCACCACCATCACTCGCCAGGAGCCATGGATCTGAATGAGAACAGGTCCTCACTTCATTGCTCCAGTTGAGTTTTGCGGCTAGGTGGATGGAATGGAATTGATGTTTCCCATAGATTCGAAAAGTGTTGCACACCATAGTTTGCACCATATAGCGTGTACCATAGCTTGAATCAGGCAGCTTGCTCTCCGCAGATTGTACCACATTGCTTCCGCATCCAGAGAGCAAGGATTCATCTGAAGGGCTTCGCCCTCTGCCGCCGCTCGGGAAAGGCATTGGGGACAGTTTTTTGTATACTTTGTATGTCTTGGCAGCCTGGTGGCACTTCTATATGAATCCTGGGGCAAACGAGAGCTGCTGGAAGGCTGTCTCTCTCAGGTGCTTGTAATTCTTGTCCGCCGCAGGGCCGTATAAAGAAGATACTATTAGAGCGGCACGAGGCAGGAAAAATGAGAAAGGACGGAAAAAGGAAGACGACACCGTCAAGGCAGCAGCCCAGCAGGGTGCTCCATAACTTGGAGCCCCAATGGGGGCCGGCGAATCTGCCAGAAGCCGCTGGTATCATTCGCTCCACCATGGCATGAAGTCGCAGTGTGACCAGGTGCAGTCTTCCTCCCTCCTGGGCCCGGAGGCCGACTTCTTCCTCCCGCGCACGCTGCAGGGCGAGCTGCACCCGACCCCCTGTGTTCCTCCTCTTTCAGGAGGGAAAGAAACACACAGACACAATTAATCCTCGATTCCCAGGAAAATATGGGAAAATATGGGAAGTGGGGGGGAAGACAAAAACCCAGAAAATATGGGAAAATATGGGGACTGTTTTTATTTGTGTGTATCTATTTGTGTGTCCTAATTTCCCTTTACTCTTCCTCCTTCCTTCCCCTCCCCCTGTCGGAGCAAGCGGGAGATCCGGCCCGCGGGTGGCCGAAGCGCGCCCGGGGGGGCGAGGAGGTTGTGCAAGTTGTCCCCCCTGTTTGGCATCGCTCGGACGTGTGCATGTTCCTTCCTTCGGCGAGGACCATCGAGGAGCATCCTTGATCATTTGGCGAAGAAGCCACGCACGAAACCGACAAAAAAACACAGGGAATGGACGTCCGAGCGATGGCCAGGTGAGGTAGGGGGGGACAAGCATGTGGCACGATTTGATGTGTGGTCACCTCTCTCTAGGCAGAGGCTGGTCCGCCGAGGTTCCAGGCATTGTTCAGCGCACGTTCCTCGCAATGGTGTTTAGCATGCCCTTCCTGGTCGCTGTCGACTGCGCAACAAACTGGTGTGGCCACTGGAGCGTGCGCGCGTGTTGCACGTCGTTCAACGTCGGTTGCGGCCTCGGGAGCGCGCATCTGTCGTAATTTGCAAGGGGGTGAGGCCGCGGGAGCGCGCACGCGTCGTAATCTACAAGGGGCTGTGGCCCCGTGAGCGCGCATATGGTGTGATTTACTAGGTGTAGTGGCTTCGGGAGCGCGCATGTGTCAAATGTTGATGTTCTCGAGCGCACCCAAGAGCTGAGGGGCCACGTCTGGGGTTGTAGATTGCCGGCTTTGGAGCCAGGGAGTTGCTCGTTTTGAAACTTTCCATCGTCGGAACAAGGAAGCATGGTTTGTAAATCTTGGGAAGTTGGAGCAGAGGGTCTGCACTGAAACTAGCACTGGAACAAAGGAAGTTGCAGGGAGCAGAAGCTGCACCCACGCAGCCTCATGGCCCACACAAGGGCCGATTGGGGCCTACGCTGGCAAACATTATTTAATGAGTTTTCGCGGCTCCACATCGTCGCCAAGGCTGGACGCGGTTCGGAGCCCGTGAGACAGGCGCAGGACGAGGAGAATTTGTTCCAGAGCGTTCCAAGACGATGCCAAAAATTTCCCGGAGGTTCCGGGACGGCCGCGGTGGTCGAGACATCCTCCAGGCCCGGCGGCTCTTCAGGATTCCCGATGTGTTCTCATCCAGGTGTGTCTTCATCCGACTGCAGTCCTGAAGCGGGTGAAGATGCAGTGTGGGATGGGCCCAGAGACCAGATTTGCAGCGGAAATTCTGCGCTCCTTCTTCTATCCTCACCTTCAAATGTCGCCGCGCTGTTTGTTCTGACGCGCGGTCTTGCGTGTTGGGGAGGGCGCCGCGGCCACCAGGGCAAACGCCGCCTGGGACGCAAAGTTTGCCGTGGATTTGCCGCAGCACTGGCTCGTCTCCTTAGGCGCAGGGCGCACGGTTTGAGGTGGGTTTGCCATGGGTGTGCCGTGGTGTCGGCATCGTCCATTTCGGCGCGTCGAGAACAAACGGCGTGGCGACATATCTTTCTTCTTAATTGCGTAAGGACAGCACATGGAGCAGTTTCGTTGCCCACGCTATGTAATGCCGTGAGGCAAACGAGGATTGATCACGCTTGGCCGAGATTTGCGCGAGGGCTCTGGCGAGCAGCCACTACGACGGAGACGACAGCGACGGCGGCTATACTGAAGATACGATGATGAGAAGATCGACCGTACTCAGGCCCACAGCTTCGCCGGTGACATGGGAACCTTGTGGAAGTGGGCTGGTAGGACAGGTGCAGCAGACACATCAGTGTCAGCGTCGCTGGCTGCGTCAGCACCAGCGGCCACCAGCGCAGCACTGATGTGAGCGGCGACGGCGGAGCAGCGCCGGCGAAGGCGGCGGCGGCGGCGGCGGCGACCTGCGGCAGACGCGAGGCCGCTTTGGGCGCACCTGACCCTCCCATGCCTGCTGGTGGCCGCTGGCTGGGCGCGCACCCCCGCGCTCGGCGTGGCCAGTGCCTTCCGCAGGCCAGACGTGTGGAGGGGACCGGGCGCCAGCGGTGCTGGGCGGCGCTGCAGACTGGGCCGCTGCGGCAGAGGAGCGCTTCCGCGGGAGGGGTCTTCGCCGAGGCGTGCCGTGTGTGGAACTTGGTATCGCTCGGACGTGTGCATCTCTCCTCGGCGAGAACCATCGTGGACCATCCTGGACCATCGAGCAAACAGAACACACACGAAACCGACAAATGCAGGGGAAATGGACGTCCGAGCGACGGCAAGGGAAGGGGGGCAGGAGGCCCTCGGTTATGTTGTTGTTCTTGTCGGGGGGCGCGGGGCAGCAGAAGCGGGGGCTGCAGGGAGGGGGGCGGGGAGGAGGATCGGGGGGTGAAGAGCAGGAGGAGGAGGAGGAGGAGGATGCGGAGGAGAGGAGAGCGGTGCTGTCAGGTGGTTGGAGAGGGAGGTGGGGCAGGCCAGCCACGAGCAGACGGGCCTACAGCAGGGGGAGGGGGGAACCCTTGGTTCTTAGACGGCGCGGGTCTGATCTACAGATGTTAGGCCGGCGCCTTCTAAGAAGCAGCCTCTTTCCAAGAAGCCCTCCGCCTTCCCTCCACCCCAGTGTGCGCGCCGCCAGGTAGGAGGCGAGGTTAGGGATGGCGGTGGCCGCTGCTGTTGCTTGGCCGTGCCCCCTGCGGTGGGCCTCAGGCGCGCGGCGAGGGGCGCTGCGAGCATGGTTCAGAGCGTGGGCCAGGCAGTTGGGAGGAGGAGGCGGAGGAGTAGGGGGACGGGGGGCAGGGGAGAGGGGAGAGGGTGGAAGGGCAGAGGGACGAAGAGAAGCAGGGCGACGAAGGTGAGGAGAAAGAGAAGGTGGAGGAGAAGGAAGACGACGACTGCACCGTAGAGGACAAGGACGAGGAGGGAACAGGAGGTGGGAGGGCGGGAAGGCGAAGGGAGGATGATGATGCTGATGCTGATGATGATGATGATGATGATGATGATGATGATGATGATGATGATGATGATGATGATGATGGTGAGAAGGAGGAGGGCGAGGACGACGACGAAGACGACGATGAAGACGAAGATGGGTGCGACGGCTGGGGTGACGGAGGGGGGCGGGGGTAGGCGTAGGAGGAGCAGCAGGGCGACAAGAACGACGACTACGACGATCGTGACGACGGCGGGGGTGGCGACGACGCCAGCGGCGGCGAGGACGACGAGCACGGGTAAAAGGAAGAGGAGGAGGAGGCAAGGAAGGATGATGCAGATCATCGGGCAGGCGAGGCACGCGCGGCGACCATACACGGCGCCTCGCCTCAAGCTTTGCCATGGCGGTGCGCCTTTTCACCCTTTCGCTGCCTCCTCCAAGATCGGCTCGCGCTTCGCTGCCCGAAGATGTCGCGCCCGATCTCGGGGTCTTTGAAGCACGCGGGGGCCAAGGTGCGAAACCTCGTCGTCGTCTTCGTAGTCCTCATCCTCGCTGCTTGCTCTCCTCCCCCTCCTTCTCCTCTTCCCAGGGTCCTCATCCTCCACATCCTCTTCCCTCGCATTGTGTTCGCCGGAACGCAACCCATCCTGGTTGTTTTTGTCAGGACGCGCCCCCTGCCCCCCAACCTTCTCTTGCCAGGACCTCCGGAAATGGAGGAATGGCTCCTATCATTTTACATATCGATGGATCTTTGTCAAGGATGCGGGCGCGGTGCGTTTCCTGTCTCGACTTGTCGCTGTCTGGCACACGGGCAAACCCAAGACCAGTAACAAATAACACACGCAAACGCCGATTTCAATTGCTTTCTTGTTCCTCCAGATTCTCTCTTCTCGGGTATCTCCTTCGCATTAGTCGCCCAGAAGCGCTGGATGCATACCGCGATAGTTGTTTTGAGAACAGAGTGGGACAGCAGATTGAGAAGCACATTTGCGCAACATTTTCGAGCATGAGCAGCATCTTCGGCTTTCTGTGTTAGTCGATGCGTTCCTGGGGCACGACTGTGGTTAGCCCCCAGCCGAGATAAGCTCACAGTGCTCTCACTCTATGGGGTTCCCCTCCATGTGCCAAGCACTCTAACTACACCTAGTTGTTTTCCCTCTCGATGTATTTTCCGCGCGCCTTGACGCTCTTCATCTGATGTCGGGCAAGCCCTCCTGAAGGGTCGCGGATGTCGTTCGCTTGTCCCTGGATTGGCGTCGTTCGTGTTTGATGTTGTCCGCCTTCCTCTGTGTGGCCAGTTGCCCTCCTCCCTGCTGCCTCCCCCTCCTCGCCATCCTTATCCCTCCCCGTCCTCAACAGGACCCTCCCCTGCCTCTTCTTCCACTTCCTGCTTGTTCTCCTCAGCTGCGTCATCATCGGTTAATCCCCCTCGTCTCTCAGTCCCCGTGCTTTCCATCCTTGTCTTTGGCACGGTCGGTTAGAGAACGGTTAGAGCTTGAGCAGTTTTGCCAATTCTCTCTGCCCATATTGCTGCTGTCGTCCTGCCTGTCCCTCCCCCTGTTTCCCTCCTCCTCCTCCTCCTCCTCCTCCTCCTCTTCCTCCTTCCCCCCCCTCCACCTCTCCTCTCCGCCTCCACCAACTCACCATGCTCCCGGGCGGCGCGCCGCACGTGGGCCAGGACCGCCCTCGATCGAGTTCGGCGCCGGCGGGAGCCAGGCGTACCACAAGCGAGTTGCTTGTGAGGGGGGGGTGAGAGAACAAAAGTTTGGGATTATTGGAATCGATAACAAGATGGGGGGAATAAGAAGTAAAGGGTGCTAAACAGAAGTAATAAGCACCAAGCAGAATAAGGGAAAGTGGCGGGGCGGTTGCCAGGAGGCTCTGGGTACCAAAAATAGTAGATCCTAGGAACATGAGTGAGACCGACCACGTAAAAAATACTGGTTCAGGGTGAGGGGCGGCTGCGAGATGTTTTGTTTAAAAGGGTATTCGAACAACAGGTGAGGGTGTTAAGATGAAGAGCGGGTGCTAAAAAATCAGGGTTGGGGCGTCAGGAAATGCTACGAAAGCCATTCGAATGTTTAGGAAGTGCTTTGACATTCAAAGGAAGCCCTAAGGAATCCATAGGAGTCCCCTGGAACCGTTACGACACCCTAAGTAATCCGCACGCATCGTTAGAAAATGCTAACGACACCTTGGGACTTCCGTAAGAATTCGTAGGACATCTGTGGGAATCCACAAGAATATGCAGAGCATGTGTCGGAACATGTTCCTCCTCGCCATCGTCCTGGTTTTCCCCCTCGTCGTGTTGTCTGTTCGTCGGCGTCGTCATCGTTGTTATTGTGGTCGCCGCGTCGTCGTCAATATCGACTTCCTCGTCGTCGTCCTCGTCGTCGTCCTCGGCGCCGTCATCGGCGTCGGCGTTGTCGTCGTCGTCGTGCCGCTCGTCGTCGCCGTCCTCGTCATCGTTGTCGTTATCATCGGTATCGTCGTCGTCGTTTTAGTCGCCATCGTCGTCTTGTCGTCGTGCTCGTCGTTGTCGTCGTTGTCTCGTCGTTGTCGTCTTCCTGGTCGTCGTCGTCGTCTTCGGTATCGGTCACGTCGCCGTCGCCGTAATGTTCGCCGTCGTCGTCGTCGTCGTTGTCTCGTCGTCGTCGTAGTCGCCGTCCCCGTCGCCGTAGTTTGCCCGCGCCAGGTTTGACTCATCGTCATCGTAATGGCCGTCGTCGTTGCCGTCGTCGTCGTCGCCCTGCTCATCGTTCTCGTCGTCTTCCTCGATGGGTTCGTCGGCGTTGACTTCGTTGCCGTCGCTCTCGTCGTCGTCGCTGTCGCCCTCGCAGTCGTCGTCGTCGTCGTTGTCGTCGTCGTCATGGTCGTCGTCGTCGTCGTTCGCGTCGTCCGTCTCGTCGTCGTCGTCCCTCTCCTCATGGTCGGCATCGTCCCAGTCGTTGTCGCCGCCCTCGTCCACGTCGGTGTCGCTCTCGCCGCCGTCGCCCCAGTGAATGCAATTCGCCGTTGCCCTAGGCCCCGCCCGACTGACCTGCTCGCCAGGGTCCGCCCGTCCCCCCGCCCGTCCCGCGCGTGAGGGTGCGTCCGTCCGACCCGCCCGTGAGGGTCGTTGTCGCAGTCGTCGCCCTCACCGCCGTAGTCGTTGTCGTCGCCGTTGTCAACGTCCTCATCGTCGGTGTCGCCGTCGCCGCCGCCTCCCTCGTCGCCCTTGAACTCGACGTCGTCGTCATCATTGTTGTCGTCGTCGTTGGCCTCGTTGGCGAGCCCTTCCCGCGTTCGCCGTACGCGGCAATAGAAAACATGATGTGTGTTGCACCCCACCCGTGTTGCCGCGCGACGGGTCGAACAGAGAGCTATGTGTTTCCGCCCCCCCTGCGCTGCCACATGATGAGAGTAGAAGGATGTGTGGTCCGCCCTCTGCGTTGTCCGTGCCGGATAGAATCTAATAACATGTGTTTGCCTCCCCAGGCAACGCCATGTGACGGATAGGGCACAATATTGGTGGTCCGCCGCTTTCCGCTGCCACGTGGCAAGTTGAGCAATGTAGAAAAATATGTGTTTCGCCTTCCTGCATTGACACGTGAAGTGTAGAATTGAATGCGACTTTGTCCCCCCCCCAAGGCGTGCCCATGTGACGGTAGAGTCGACGATCGAGGAGTTCCCGAGGAATTCGTATAGATACTAGAGGACGCCCAAAGGATTCTTCGACGTCCCCAAGGATGGTTTTAAGGATTGTTGTGGACCCTTGAGGGATCCACAGGAAACCCCAAACATGTCATAAGGAGTCCGGCGGACTCATGCATCCAGGCGGGCCGTTGGGCTGCTGAGCTGGTTTTAGTAACCGACCGTGCAGTTACTAAGATGAAGCACGGTTTATCTATATAATACAGCATGTATACCAACCTGCTCAACAAAGAAATATGGGTTATTTCAACGACTTAAGGAGCGCAGCGAAAAGTAATGGATATTACAAGCGAACGAAACATGCCAAACGGAAAATTGGTCTCATGCTCTGCATACAAACGACAGGGCTAATACTTACACAGCATCGGAAGTGTTGCATTTCATTGTATACTTTTTCCTTAGTCGTCCCTATGTGTGCTGTTCGTGACTTCCCTGGGGGGTCGATCGGAAGGTCTTCCCAATCATCTCTCCCACATCCCCGCCCCGAGTCATATCTCTCTCATGTTCATCCCCCTTCCTCCTCCAACTCCACCCTACCATACCCCTGAATCATAGTTGTGTTTATCCTCCTCCCTCTTCTCCTCATCTCCCTCATGACACCTACCAAATCACGTTCCCTGTCGCTCATCAGATTTCTCCCTCTGAGACGGCTCATCCGCCTGCTGACACATCATCCTTCTCATCTCCCTCCTTCCCCTGACTCCTTCTGGCCGTGCCTCCCCCCTCCGCGTCCTCCTGCCTCCCCTTCTCGCCCCTTCCATTCATCCCTCCGCCCACCTTTTCCCAGCCCCTCCTTCCGTCCGATCCTCCTCTCCCCATACTGTTCACCTCCATGCCCCTTGTTGTGCCGATGCCCCACCAGCACGGAGGAGCCCGGGATTCGGGCACGCGAGGCAGAGTTGGCCAGCATAATGAATGCAGCAGCGACCAGCGGGGCAGCTTTGTGCCTCTCATGCTCATCAGCGAATTCCGAATGGCCTGAACGATCTCCTCTTTGTGTGCACTGGACACACTGGCCAGTGTCCCATGATGATTGAGTGGGAGGTGAGGTCACGGATTCGCAATGCCATCAGCAACAGCCGTTTTGCATGTGCGTCTCTTTATGTTGCTTGTTCGTGTCTTCGGAGTCTTGAGGGGGTAGCCGTTGGTGCGGGTTGGTGCTACAGCGCCCTCGTGGAAGGGGAGGTCGAAGGAAGTTGGTTGACACGCCATATCCTATTTATGACAGTCAGGCGACGGGGGATGTGGCAGAGGTCGCACGCTTGACCTTTCTGTGTTCCTGGCATGCCGCGGGCAGCGACCACGATTGCACGTGCAGGAGCTGGAGAGATCGAATTCAAGAGAAGGCACGACAGAGTTTCAAGCAGACGCACGTCGGCCCGCACACTGTCAAGCCTGTGATTTGGTCAGTTCTGATTCACCGGCAATGGCACTGCAAAAGTAGGGGTTGCACGGGCACGGTGCTTGCCGCTTCGGGGGGGGGGACGCCGCGGTCGGGCGCTGCGCCGCACCCGAGCGGGGACAAAGCCGAGCAGATGTGTGTCCGCCTCTTCGCAGTGCCCAGTGTCGCCCAAATCGTCTGCCCAACCCCGTCGGTTCGAATCGATGTTGTTGCTTTCTGGGCGGCAGTGTTCAGCGGTGGAAAAAAGCATGTTATATTGCATTCGTGTTTGGCGTTCACTTGCGCTGTGTCACGCGAGGTTGCTGATTCTCTGTGCACGCAGTGTTCACGTACATAATGCTGCAACGCACTAAGCCATGTTGACGCGCGTTTGAGTCAAGCACGATGCGCGTACCCGGCGTCGATATGCCCGCAACGATGGGTTTGCAAGGCGTGTCGCAGGTTGTTGTTCGACCTGGCTCTAGCTCCTTTCAGAGTGGTCGGACTCTGATCTTGACTGCTGGCTCTAGGTTGTTGCCAACATATACCCATGAATGCCGACGGGGTAGCGCAACCAGACATTGCCGGCGCTCGCGCACAGAACAGCGAGAGGCAAGGCCACGCGGCGGTTCACGGTGAGTTGTGTCGAGCAGGCGCCTGACGGCGCTTAGTCGTCCCCTTGGTAGTTGCGATCTGTGCAGGGGGCGGGAGTAGATGGAGTCCACCATAATCCGGAGGGGAAAAAACACACAGACACAATGAATCGCCGATCCCCCGGAAAATATAGGAAAATATGGGAAGTGGGGGGGAAGACAAAAGCCCAGAAGATATGGGAAAGTATGGAGAATCCTTCCATTTGTGTCTGTTTATTTGTGTGTCCCAGGGCCCCTTCACATAAGGCCTCTCCCCGCGGGCGGGGCACAGACCCTCCGACAAGGCCGGCTCGGGAAGAGGCAGTCCGCCCGTCGCCCGTGCCTGGCCGCCCAGTCGAGATGGCCTGACTCGTACGCGGGCCCAAGCACATCCTCTGACCCACACCCTGCCAAATCAAAGAGCATGCGCAGCTGGAGTGGTTCCCCAGGGTGAGCGGGCAAGAGGCCATGGGGCTTACGGGCCACATGCACCGCTCGCTTGCCCGATGTCCAGCGCGAGGCATGGCACCAGCGCCACGGGCGCAGCTGAGAGCCACATGCTGCGGGCACGATGTCACGTTGCTGGTTCTTGACGACTTCAGCAGGTGTGTCTGCTCACTGCAGGCACACGGAATGGCATCGTTGGTGCCCCCGCGGCGTAGGGCCGAGCCCTAGGATACGGCACCCATCAGAGCAGTAATTGCCCCCACGCCGCGGGGGCGCAGGAGGAGGGAGGAGGCGGAGGAAGACGAGGGTCGGAGAAGAAGCAATTGCATATCTACAAACGTCCGTGGGGTCCGCGCAGATTTTTTGATCCGTGTTGGACCTCTGTCCCTGGCGCGCGGAGCGTGCCAGGGGCGCCGCCAGAGGCGCCGCCAGAGGGCCCAGCGCCGATCGGAGAAATCCACGCGGACCTCCGGAAGTTCATGTGTGTGTGTGTGCAGTTGTTCCTTCTCTAGTTGAGGAGGAGGAGGAGGAGGAGGAGGAGGAGGAGGAGGAGGAGGAGGAGGAGGAGACGCGGACGGAGGAGGAGGGAGGAATTCTAGGATTCGAGGTTGGCCTCGCGCGCGCCCTGAGAGGGCGCGAGGTCCTGGCAGAGAGAGAGAAGGGCGGCAGCCGCCGACATGACGGCGACGACGAACGGCGACGGCACGGACGAGGACGACGGACGAGCGAGCGCAGCGACGACGGACGACGGCGTGGGTTGCGGCAGCAACCATTGACGGCAACGCCGAGGGTCAGAGCCGGCCCACTCAGCGGGCAGGCCTCGCAGTGTGACATTGTCCCTGCCCTTGTTCTTGCTCTTGGAGTCGGGGCCTGTGCTCGAGCAAAACGGTGGTTTGGCGATTTCGTAGGCCGTTTTCGTTTTGATGTCGTGTGGCCTCAGAGGCAGAAGGAAGGCAGAACAAAGGAGAACGAAACCAAAAGGAAAACGAAAAACACTGTTCAACTCGAGCCGTGACTTGTTCACCATACATTTGATCAGGAGAAACCGTGCAAGCAGCCAAGCGAGCGCGACCCGCGGCTTCTTTCTCTTCGCCGCGGCGGCGGCACGCCCGTTGGGCAGGATCATCAGCCCAAGGATACGCGCGTGGGATAACATGGTCATGATCACGAACAGTAAGGCGGCTGGCCGAGCAGCATCACGAAGACCTTGGGCGCGGTGCCATGGGTCAGGGCCGCCATTATCAGCAGCAGCTACTACACACCCATCGTCAGGTAAGTTGCCCTTGCCCTTGTTGATATCCTTGCCCTTGCCGATGCAAGGAACCACTCCGGAACGGCCATCTGGAGCACAGGGAGGAGCGTCAGCAGGACCATCCTCAGCGCGGGCGGAAGCAACCGACGAAGGCGTTGGATCAACAACATGGCGAAGAGCATGAACAACATGAACGATGGCTCGCCTTGCAGTCCTGGTGCCCAAGGTGGCTAAGACCCGAAACAACGCCTGTACAGCGCTTGCCTGGGCACGGGCAGCCTGGCCCCTGCGATTCGCAGCCATGCGGCGGGGGGGATGTGCGCCCCGGCGCCTCCATGGCAGAAGGAGACGCGGCGCGGGAGGGAGGGAGGGAGAGAGCAGCGGCCCAGGGCTGCCTGGCGCGAGCTCGCAACCTCCGTGAGGAGGCGACCTGAGCCAGCGCTAGGAGGCAGGAGGGTGGGGAGGAGAAGGAGGAGGAGGAAGAGACGAGGATGACGGAGGTGGGAGAGGAGGAGGAGGAGGAAGAGAGGAGGAGGAGGAGGAGGAGCAGGAGGAGGGAGAAGAGAAGGATAAGGAGCAGGAGGACGAGACAAGAAAGGAAGAGGAGGAGGAGGAGGAGGAGGAGGAGGAGGAGGAGGAGAGCTTTTGGCCGCCTCCCCGCCGAAGGTGAGGGAGCAGGCCCGGATCGCGCTGTCGCTGCAGTCGCTGGCCAGCAGGACGATATCTGGGGCCATCGGGGGCATCTTCGGAGGAGCCGCACCGCGGCCTGCCCGCGTTCTGAGGGATTGCCTCCGCCCACGTCCTCATTGCAGGACTTGTTCTGATTCGATCGTTCCAGTTCGACTCCGGTCAAATCGACGCTGCACAGCTCCCTTCCCGATTCGGCTTGCCAGGAACCGATTCGATGAAGGGCAAGGGTTGCATTTCATGACCTCCCAAGGTCCAAGGCCCTCCCCGTCGCCGCGGGTGGTCGCTGCTCGAAAAACGGGTCTGGGCGGTGCCAAGGAGAGGTGTGGGGATCGGTTCTGAGCGGATTGGAAGCACTACCCCGTGTTCTCGGCAGGCTGGGCTACCCTATTTAGTCCCCTTCCGCCTCCCCTGGTTCCTTTCTCCCTCCTCGCTCCTCCTCCTCCTCCTCCTCCTCCTCCTCCTCCTCCTCCTCCTCCTCCTCCTCCTCCTCGCTCCTCCTCGTCCTCCTCCTCCTCTTCCTCCTCCTCGTCCTCCTCCCCCTCGTGGCGACCTCTGGACTCGGCCGCCCGCCGTCAGGTTCACGTCTTCGCCAACGAAGCTGTGAGAGCGCTCATTCGGCGGGGCGCGCGCCGCGCAGCGCACACCCACGGTGTACGGTCGCGAACGTTTGGTTAGCGCGTCGCGCGCCGATACTGGCCCGCCACGCGTCGTCGCGAAGCGCTATCCACGTCTCCGTCCCGGACCGCCAACGTCCCGAGCCGTTCGCAGCTTCCGCCCCGCGGAGCGGAGCGACACGCTGTCAGTTTTCAGGGCACAGCGTGTCACCAGGGCCGCCGCCGCGACACGCTAAGCAAGCGTTCCCGACCGTAGGACAAGAGAATCGGCACCACCCAAACGTATTGTGTATATATATATATATATACGTAGCACCTCGCAATTGCGGATGAGAGTGAGGGGGCGGGCGCGGGCGACGCGGGCGTCGAGCCGGCGGACCTCGTGGCCCTCACCTTCCCTGTCGATGGCGCCCTCCTCCTCCTCCTCCTCCTGCTCCTCCTCGTCCGCGTCCGCGTCCTCGTCCTCATCGTCGTCGTCGTCGCCGTCGTCGTCGTCGTCCGCCTCCTCCGTTCTTGGCTTGTTCAGTGAACGTAGTTTGGGTCGCGGGTGGGTCGCGGGCTCTCCACCTCCACCTGGAAGGAATTCAAAAACAGCCCGCCGCAGGCGCCGAAAGTTTTGATTTGTACACTGAACGCGGTTTGGGTCGCAGGTTCTCCACATGGAACGAATGCAAAAGAAACCCGCCGCAGGCGCCGAAGTTTTGGCTTGTTCAGTGAACGTAGTTTGGGTCGCGGGTTGGTCGCGGGCTCTCCACCTCCACCTGGAAGGAATTCAAAAACAGCCCGCCGCAGGCGCCGAAAGGATTTGTACGCTGAACGCGGTTTGGGTCGCGGGTGGGTCGCAGGTTCTCCACATGGAACGAATGCAAAACAAGCCCGCCGCAGGCGCCGACAAATTTTGGGTGGGTCAACAGGTGGGTCGCGGGTGGGTCGCGGGTGGGTCGCGGGTGAATCGCGGTGGGTCGCGGGTGGGTCGCGGGTGGGTCGCGGGTGGGTCGCGGGTGGGTCGCGGGTGGGTCGCGGGTGGGTCGCCGGTGGGTCGCGGGCGGGTCGCGGGGTGGTCGCGGGTGGGTCGCGGTGGGTCGCGGTCGCGGGTGGGTCGCGGGTCGCGGCGCGGGTGGGTCGCGGGGTGGGTCGCGGGTGGGTCGCGGGGTGGGTCGCGGGTGGGTCGCGGGTGGGTCGCGGGGTGGGTCGCGGGCGGGTCGCGGGGCGGGTCGCAGGTGGGCTGACGACAACAACAAACAACAAACAACCAGCAACAAACAACAAACAACAAACAACCAGCAACAAACAACAAACAACAAACAACAAACAACAAGCAACAGGCAACAAGCAAGACACAATAAACAACAAACAACAAACAACAAACAACAAACAGCAAACAACAAACAACAACAACAACAACAACAACAACAACAACAACAACAATCATTTTACCCGAACGCTCAGTGTTCTCACCAGTGCCAGGGTTTTCATGCGACGCGAGACAATACCCCCACTTCGTGGGGGGGCAGTTCAAGCTCTACCAAATATCCAAACGACTCTTCGCGACCACCCAAACCCAGCTTCCCGCCCTATGACGTTGGGACACTTCACTTCGTGGCGTGCGGACGACCGTGGCTACTACACTGGCGTGGGGTACACACCCACAGAACTTGGTCACTTATTCGGGGCGCGCGTGTGCCCAGCATCCTGCAATTGTGACATACAATACATGACACAGACAGACAGAGAGAGAGACAGAGAGCAGACAGAGAGAGAGACAGAGAGAGCGGAGTTGGTCACATTTTTGGGGCAAGTTCCTGAGATCGTCGTGTTTTTTGTTGGTCTTGCGCGCGCGAATGTCCACTTTACTTTTTTTTGCAAGGGAGTATTGAAATTTGATTATGTTAGAACAAGAAAAAGTAGCTCGCGCGAGCTCATGTAACATAAATGTTGAAAAACCATTGGTTTCGTGGGAGTCGGACAGCGCGCGCGGGATGAAATTTGGACATTTTTTTTGAAAAACCATTGGGTTTTTGATGTTTTTATGTTGAAATCGTTACGAAACCTAAGGTTCTGGAAGGATTTCGTCTTGCGCGCGCGAATGTCCACTTTACCTTATTTTTTGCAAGGGATTATTGAAATTTGATTATGTTAGAACAAGAAAAAGTAGCTCGCGCGAGCTCATGTAACATAAATGTTGAAAAACCATTGGTTTTGTGGGATTCGGACAGCGCGCGCGGAAGGACATTTTGACAATTTTTTCTTAAAAAACCATTGGGTTTTTGATGTTTTTATGTTAAAATCGCTACGAAACCTAAGGTTTTGGAAGGATTTCGTCTTGCGCGCACGAATGTCCACTTTACCTTATTTTTTGCAAGGGATTCTTGCAATTTGATCAAGTAAGAACAAGAATTTTCATTTTATAGTGTTTTTTGCAAGGGAAAACGGATTACAACAAAACAACCGGATCCGGACACAATCCACTTTTCTGAAGCTTTCGCTAGAAAATGAAGGAAATGAGGCTGCGGCCTAGGTTTTGGAGGGGGGTCGCGCACCAGGGGTCTCAACAATAATAATTCTTTAGAAGGAATAATGTTCAACAACAACAACAACAACAAACAACCACAACAACAACAACAACAACAACAACAACAGCAACAACAACAACAACAACAACAACAGCAACAGCAACAGCAACAGCAACAGCAACAACAACAACGACAAAAACAACAAAAACACAACAAAACCAAAACAACAACAACAACAACAACAACAACAGCAACAACAACAACAGCAACAGCAACAGCAACAGCAACAACAACAACAATTTCAACAACAAGAATCCGCCTCGCGGACTTCCGCTTCAGCCACGCACCCAGGGACAGTGAATGACCGTTCGGCTCAGCCCCCTCACTCTGATAAAAACAAATAGGCCGGACCCCCTCCCGGGGCATCCTCCACCTCGCTCACATTTGGTGTACGCTCCCGGTACCGCGCTTCCCGGCCTCCCGGGGAGCCCCCAAAATGCCCAAAGACAGTCGAAGACGACCCCAAGAAGCCCCCAGAACGTAAAAGAATTGCCGAAGACGCTCCCAAGCAACCCAGGATAGCATTCGGGCGGCTCTCCAGGCTCCCAGGAGGGCTCCAAGAGACGTCAAGAGAGCTCCGAGAGGCCGCCCGAGAGCGCCCGGAGAACCCAAAATCGTTAATTTGTTTTAGGTTTTTTGCAGGGCTGTTGGCCTTCTCACCACTTCATGCTTCCAACGCTCCAAGACGACCGACGAGGCCCCCAAGACCGCCCCGAGACCGCCCCAGAGCCCCCCAAGACGGGCCCAAGACGGGCCAAGACGGCCCCGAGACTGCCGACGAGGCGCCCCAGACAGCTCCAGCCCACCTAAGAACAGGCCCCAGATGAGCCCAAGACCGGGAGCAGGAGGCCTCCAGAGACCTCCGAGAGGACTCCGGGACTCTCCAGAGGCCTCCAACACACCCCAGACCCCTGAGAGGCCACCAAAAAAGCGCCGACGAGGCCCCCAAAACAGCCCAAGAGAACTTCGAGAGCCGTCCAGAGAGAGAGCCCGAAGAGGGTAAAAACGTTGACCTTCTCGGAACATCTGGTGTACGCTCCCAGTACCGCGCTTCCCGGCCTCCCTGGGAGTCCCTACAATGCCCGAACACAGTACAAGACGACCCCAAGAAGCCCCCACATTGTAAAAGAATTGCCCAAGACGCTCCCAAGCAACCCAGGATAGCTTTCGGGCGGTTCTCCAGGCTCCCAGGACGCCTCCAAGAGACGTCAAGAGAGCTCCGCGAGGCCTCCCGTGAGCGCCCGGAGAACCCAACATCGTTGATTTGTTTTTGATTGTTTGTTGGCCTTCTCACCATTTCATGCTTCCAACGCTCCAAGACCGCCGACGAGACCCCCAAGACCGCCCAAGAGGCCCCCAAGACGGCCCCAAGACGGACCAAGACGGCCCCAAGATTGCCGAAGAGGCGCCCCGGACAGCTCCAGCCCACCCCAGATGTGCCCCAGGAAATTGAAAAAAAGGAAATTTCAGAGATTCCCTTTAAAAACAAAAATTCAACAAATGCGCGCCCCCTCCTCGCGGGGGTCCCACACCTTCCCGGAGCATCTGCGGAACGCTCCCGGTACAACGCTTCCCGACCTCCCAGGGAGCCCCCGAAACGCCCAAGGACAGCCCAAGACGACCCCAAGAAGCCCCCAGAACGTCAAGGAAAGGCCCAAGACGCTCCCAAGCAACCCAGGATAGCATTCGGGCGGCCCTCCAGGCTCCCAGGAGGCCTCCAAAAGACTTCAAGAGAGCTCCGCAAGGCCTCCCGAGAGCGCCCGGAGAACCTAAAATCGTCAATTGTCATAGTTTTTTGGAGGGTCGTTGGCCTTCTCACCATTTCATGCTTCCAACGCT